AAAATAAAAAATATTTATTAGTAAAATTGAAAACTTTTATATAAAGAGAAAAATCTGCATTTTACTATGTTTAATTAATAAATTTTGACATTATTGCATTATTTCTGATTGTCACTGTATTAAAAATGATACTATTAATGAATAAAATCCATCAAAAAATAAAGAATATCTTCGGATTTGCATGAAATATTTTGATTTAATGAATTTTTTTGTCGCATTAATTATAATTATCACTGTATATATTCTTCTTAAGACACAAAATACAAGTGTCTTAATAAAAATGAAAGTTATTAACGAAAAACTATTATACAATTTTCGGATCGAACCCGACCCGAATTGAGCTTTATCCGAAAATCTAATTCAAATTGAATTGAATATAATTAATTTGAATTCATCATATCCAATCAAAATAATAATTTTATCACGTATATTATTGAATTATATAATTTAAATTCAAATATTCACTTCTGAAAAAATATAATTGAATTTAGTTAAAAGTTGTGTACTTATCAATGTGATTATTTTTTTTCTGTTCGAAAAACTCCCTCAATTATCATTATAGCTGGATGAGAATGGACTTTTATGGCAATTAATTTTGAATGTCGAGGTAATATATAATGAGAAATTGTTGTTCTTGCAAGATGTATTTCATATTTTTCTTTGAATAATTCCAACTTTAATAATTTCATGATGCCTTTTTGCATTAGCTTGTCCAAATTCAATAAAATCGTGAATTTTCTTTACAAATTGGAACAAGTAATTAATATTAGAGAATGGTCAGATAGTCATATTTTATAATTTCATTTTTTTTTGTAGAATTTTGGCCTTCTTTGCATAGTTAGCTTGATAGCTTGTATTATGTTTCAATTTCTTGAATTTATTATATTCTGCATCAATTTGATCTTTAAAAATCATAATTTGTTGAAAAATATCATGTTTTAGTTGACAGGTTAATAAATGTCGGGTATTGCCAAACCAATAAGAATACACAAATTTTGATCATCCGGCAAAACAAATTCGACACAAAAGAAAATGAATATTCAGGTCTAACTTGGAGTACTACAAGTGACTCTCGTTATAGTAAAGACTAATTAAACTCTATATATAGTAAATTTCGTCCAAAACCAGTCTATAATAAATCCTCTCGTTATAAATTTACTAATAAACTCTCGATATAGTAAATTTTTTTACTAATGGTACGGATGCCTTTACTATGGTGCATAACATCTAAAGTCATCAAACGTTTGTGTTTTATAAAATGTATAAACATCTTTACTAAGAAGTAAATACAAAATTTAATCCGTGAATATGCTCAGAAAGAGCCTATTCTATCATATTCACGGATTAAATTTTGCATTTACTTCTTTGTAAAAAAGTTTATACATTTTGTAAAATACAAACGTTTTGATAACTTTAGATGTTATGCACCATATAACGAGAGTCACTTGTAATAAAAATGTCAGGGAGGCAATTTTACATATAATCTTACTCTCCCTCTAACCCAATCCTAACCCTATAATCAACCTTTGGGTAATTATTGCTGTGACTTTATGAGCTTTGTAGCTGACTCCTTTTGGCATTGGTATGTTTTTTGTGCTGCTGCATTTGGTGATCTTGTTTCTTTGAGGGTAATAATTATTGGTGAAAAAGAGTAGGATTAGAATTAATCTGAATTTGGTTATCGGAACTACTTTGACTATTAGAGTCATGCGAAACTGGTGCTTTGCATTGGAATTGGTGTCGCAAAATATTCTATTATTTTGCTAATTTCTTCATCTGATTTTTTTGTATATTTTGGATAGGTTGGGTTGGTGGTTAAAATCACTTGACGATATGAAAATGCATTACAAAATTGTTCATAAGTGGTCCGAGGGTTGTACATGTATATGTATGTTTAATTATATGTTGGTGTGGAAAGAAAACGCTGTATTTTAAAGTGCGAACGTAAAAATAATATACAAATAAATCATTCTGCAAGAAAGTGTTATGAATATACGTATATTACGAGGTAGATTTAATCATTGCGCTTAAAACTATCGTTATCATATAGAATGATCTTAATCACGCTTCTACCATATCGAAGGGTAAAACAAATATTAGCTAATATCTGCTTACTTCCCTTATGAGTCGACAAATTTTTTTGTTCCCTAAAATATATTTATTTATTGTAAACTTAATTTAAACGTTTAATAATGATAAGCTCTTTTATGAGGCGATAAACTAAGTGAATCTGACAAAATTTTACCAATTTAGCTTTGAATTTAGGGATGCTGTAGTCCGATGAAACTTGGTCCGGACTGGTCTTTTGAAGTGGAGTGGGTCCATGGTCTAACTGATAGTTTGCATCAATATCACATGAATTTAAAGTATTACACAAGTGGAGATAATTTAAATTACAGTAATGATAAAACTTCATAAAATGAAAACACAGAGACCAGTATTTTCTCATATACAAATTTCAACCAAGGTTTGAAAGTAGACTCTTCTTCCGGATGCTGAGATCATTACCCGCGAGTTTTTCTAATTTTACAATTTAGAATTTTAGTATGAATTAAATAAAATAATTATCAATTTTTGTTTGTATTTACTTTTCGACTTTGCCGTTTCCTTCTTTTTTGTCACTTTTTTGTCACCATCTATCTTGTCATTTTTATTATTAATTTCGCGTTCTTTCAAAAAATTCATTTTGATGCTTGCTGGTTTGTATAGTTGTCCAAGGTATTTCCGTGTATGTTCTGCCACTTTTAATACTGACGATGGCATTCCTAATATAGATAAATTATACATCGAGAAAATTAAAGATATATATAAATAAAATAAAAGATAGTCAGATAATGGAAATACATTTTACCTGCTAATTGTGCAACCTTCAAAGCACACGAGTTTTTGTTAACTCCTTCTTTCAATTGATGTATATAATGAAAACTACCATCCTAATAAAGCATTCATTTAAAAAATCAAATTAATATTAGAAATTAAAAAAAGCAATCAAAAATTAATACCTCACGATTCACAACACCAGTACAATAACAAGCAGCGTTCTCGAAATCCCGTATCATTTCCGACAACTCGTGAAAATGTGTGGCGAATAATGTTCGACAGCGGTTGTGATAATGTAGGTGATATAACGAGGCAAAAGATATTGCGATCCCGTCCAATGTTGTGGTTCCTCGGCCTACTTCATCCATTATTACCTATATCAAAAAAAATAATCAATGAAAGCTTTATTCAAGCATAGTTAAGTGTGGCTTTTTGGGGATGGTTTGATACTTGCAAAAGATCGTGGTGTCGCATTTTGTAATACATGAGCTGTTTCAATCATTTCTACCATGAAGGTTGATTGATTCTGGAATAAACTATCGGAAGCTCCAACCTATCAAGTAAAATAATATAATTAGAAAAGTAAATATAAAAATCGTCAAATATCCAAAGAAAATTTACTCTGCTAAAGATCTGGTCAACGATTCCAATTTCAGCATAATCAGCAGGGACAAAAGAACCGATCTGAGCTAGTACTGAAATCACAGCATTTTGTCGCAGAAAAGTGCTTTTGCCACCCATGTTCGGGCTAATTTATATAAATGTTTATATTTGCATGTAATGAGGTTTAATTAAGATAAAAAATATTCATTGTTTTTACCCAGTAATCAACCACACCCGTTCTTTATCATCGCCACCGATATGGCAATCATTTTTTGAATAAAAGATGTTCTTTTCTTTAAGAGATGTTTCGACGATTGGATGGCGACCACCGATAATTTTAAGAGTTGTTCTTAAACAATAAAATAAGTATATAATTTCTATTCTAATTACTTTTAAAATGAAATATGAATCAATACCCGTTATTAATCGCAGGTCGTACAAAATTCATTTCCTTCGCTAATATGGCCAGTGACGAAGTCACGTCCAATTCATCAATTATACATGAATTTTGAACGGTAAGATTCCAGTTTTGTATCACCTTTTTTATTTTTAGATTGAATTCATTATAAAGGTTCAAAATATAAATTCAGATGGGTAATGAATTTCCTACCTTACTTCGTAAATCTGCAAAGATTTTATTCTCAAATTTACGTATTTCAATTTTATGATTCTCAATTTTTCCACCCAATTGATTCCATTGCTTCATAAGGCAAATTAGTCACATATTATTGTATGCTTTTTACATCATAAATAATACGAAAAAATATACCGGAATAAAATATATCGCATGTCTTTGATCTCTTTTCACAAAAGTAGGTTTCAATTCTGTTAATGAAAAGGGTAAAAGGGACGAAGCTTTTTGAAACCGATCTTCCTCTTTGCGATTGATAGTCGCAACAAATCCATGAGGGGTATGTGATAAGATAATTTTTTTTACATCTTAAATAGCGTTTTTGAATATGATTAGTGATTTAATTAGTTTATTTAATTTAATTTAATAATGGAAAAGACCTTACCCAGTTCTTTTTTCAATTGCTCTATAAGCAAATTTTTCTCGAGATACCAATTATCTAATTTCAAATGCAATCTTTTTAATGCTGCCGAATAACTAAAGGAAATAAGATGTTAATATTTTATAAAAATTATACATCTCCACGATGACTTTTAATAAATTTCATTTCTTACTCTTTCTTTATATACCAATTATCAGTACTTTTATCGTCGAAAAACGAGTCTTGTGGTGGTGATGGCGCTTGTGGAAATGATTTATTCTGATTTGTTTTCCTCCTACCATAACGTGGTGACTCTTTATTTTTATCGTCGTTCTGATTTGTTTTTCTTGATGACAGCATTGACTCTTTATTCCTTTCTTCGTTGTTTTTATTAATATTGTGAATGTTATGATTATTATCATCATTCTCATTATCAACATTATCCACATGATTTACAATAACATTAGGATTCGACTGAACATTTAGTTCAATATTAGCTTCCTGCATCTTAATCAACGCTTCTTCATTTAATGCACTATCAATTGTATTCATCAAATCATCTTGTGACTGTAATCGATCGATAAAATTTTCCACAGAATTATTCGGAGTCGTTGGTAATTCCTCTCGTATACGTTTTTCAATTTCGTTTATTGATTTGATGGTACGTTTTAACTTTATGTAATCTTCAATTCCCCCATAGTCTAGTGATAATCGTTGAGTCGTTCTTTGTGCGTCACTGCAATCTTCCAAGAAAACGCGTATATCACTGGTTAAGTGTGTGTTATTGTAGAAATATTCAACCAAGTCTTGGCGAATTGTGATTACATCTAATGATGTTGAAGGTAATCCTTTATAGCGTGCGTGTTTACAATAAAATTAGTATCATTAATGTTTTTATTGGAATACAGATACTATTACGATATTATTTATTGGAAAGAATTCTCACTTAGCCAACGATTTAAAACGCGAGATCCAGAGGCAGTTTTAGTTCGTTGAATAGCGTGTAATAAGCTTCCTTTTCTACAATTATCGCGCATTGAAGCAGTAATCTCCAAAGAAGACAAAGCAGTAGCATCTATAATCATTGTATCCTCCGGATTAACTCTAATCGGATGCTCCACTCTAATTTTACGCCCAACCAAATTTTTCTCGATATACTTGAACAATCCAGCACTAGCTTTCATCTCAATCGGCGAAAACACTTCACGTAACTCAATACCCTCAGATTTCAAGTCAGCCTCCCACGAGGTGGCCTTTGCGTCAAAAGTACTCCTCAACTCAAAAGAAATCGAATATTCCACTCGATCAATATGACTCCATATTTGATGCTCCGGATACAGACTATATACGTCACTCAGCAAGACTTCACTTGGGCGAATACGAGCAATATCACTAGACAATGCAGCGAGCACAGATTTTTGCATAAAGAATTCCCCGGTAGAAACATCAATCCATGAGAGTCCAGTGTCTTGCAATGACTCGTCCAAAGCGATTGCAAGTAGGAAATTATTTTTGTTGTGATCAAGAAAACTCTCACTGATTAGTGTTCCGGGGGTAATTATGCGAGTGACATTTCTTACATATTTTAAATCACCGCATTCTGCATTTTTGTTTGGTGTTTCAGCGCAGAGAACTACTAGGTGACCTTCATCCAATAGTATTTGAAGATATTTATCCAATGCATGAACAGGAAATCCAACAATTGGTACTCTCCCTTTTTTTACTTTTCTTCTACCTATCTTAATATCTAACAATGGTGCAAGTTTTAATGCTTGCTGAAAATAAATCTACTTAAATCAAAAGTATTAATTAAGTTTATAATTGATAGCATAGAAAAATCATCTGTGAATTTACCTCCCAGAAAATTCCAACTTGTGTCAACACAACGCAATGCGGGTATTTTTTCAATACGGTTTTCACGCCTTCCATCAACAGAGTTGTTATGCCATCCATGCTTTTATCAACATTTTCCGAGATACTCGGTAAAGATACAGCAGGGACACGTGATGTGGTTTGATTATTCTTTGATACTAGAGGGTTTTTTATCAAAGGGTTTTGTAATGATGATTGATTTTTGGATATTGCTATTGGGGCAGAGCTCGTTGCTATTGAAGACAATGATGATTTGGGAAATAGACGATGATTGTGGTATAATAATAATGCAAGTGAAGATAAAGAATAGGATTGGAGTTTCTGTATTATAAGATTCTTTATTAATTTCATTATGACGATTCAATTTATTAACGCTCAAATGAAGTTGCATTACTTTATTTATTTGATATACTTTAACGTTAAGTAGAGTTGACATCGCTTCTTTTTCATAAAGATGTGTCGACTTTTCGGGAAAAAACCAAGAGAAATTCAAAACATGGTAATGATAATCATGGAGTAAAGTCCACTCGATGTCAGCTGTTGATTTTTTAGTCGACGATATCGGTATATACATTACACAAATAACACCATTTTCGGTGGGCCTAGTTCTTTCTACGTAGTCTCTGTGAATTGATTCTTTTTTTGCTAGATAGTATGCTCCGTCGCCAGAGATATATGATATCGATACCTAGAAATTGGATCTAATTAACTTTTTCGTTTCCAATCCTCTTCTCGTAGAAGATTCATTTTATATTCTATTGCTTTATTCACAAAGCAAATAACGATAAGCTCTTTAGAATCGAATTTAATTCTTTTCATACGTAACGGTGATAAACCCTTTTTCCTAAATATATGCCATCATGCTTACCCTAATTTTGTTTTAAAACTGCCTAAAAAGGGCGAAATCTCGAGAATTCTACGAGGTATCACTAGAAATATTGAAGCCTACATTTTAACACCCAACAAAATAAATTTAATCAAAGCGAAATAAAAAATCCCAAATTACATGTATTTTTTTCAGCCGCTGGGGTGCAAGGGTTTAGATTAGTATAGACAGTTTCGGTAGCTAATTTCATTAATCTCACAATTTTGATCAAGTTCGTCTGTTAGTCTACTTAATTCGCTCCAAAATTCTATCCTGATCTCCATGCGATGTTTATTTAAATTTCTATTTTTATCTCGCTTTTGTTTTCTATTTTTTTTTTCAATCCTTAAGTTCTCTCAAATTCTCTCCTCTCAAATAATGGTGTGCATTATGTGTTAAATTCTAGAATAATACTTCACTATGTAATAGTCCTCAAGAACATTAATAATTAATTGTACAATTCTTTTCCAAATAGTTGATTGTGATTGGGACTATACTAGAAAAAGTCTAAAAGAGTTTCATATTTCAAAGTTTAAATTTTTTCGTATTTCCAATGAATTTCAAATCGTTGAATTTATCTTTTGTCAAATTTATTAGCATTGTTCTGCTTATATCCGGATCTAAACGATTCGGTTCTAGGACGGTTCCGTTTCGATTATTATTTTCGTAGAACAAATCTGAACGATTCGATTCTACTTTAGCTTGGAACTGAATCGGAACCGAACCGAAATGAATCAGATATTCAAATTATCAGTCAATATATACAGTCCGCACGGAAAGTAATGGTGGAAAAATTTCTACCATATACTGTATGTACATGTAGTATACATTAAAGTTAGCTTGATTGTACAAAAGATTTGTCTTTATCTACTGACAATTCGCAAATAAACTTGGATTTAATAACTTTCGAATTTGTATGCTGAAAGAATAAAGAGAACTTTTAAACGTGAGTTATACGGTACTTTATAAATCACTATTTAAAGTATATCGATATTCTTCGTAACACTAACTTTACTAAAGTCACTAAAATTCAAAATAAATTTACATCAATAAAAAGATATATAAAATTAGTAAAATAAAGTATAAATAATCATTATTTTGAAAATTCTTTAAAGCATCCGAACGTGTTCTACTGGGCGGGGAATTAATGGTGGTAGAAGTTACAGTTACAGCTACACCAGTTTCAGTTTTGGTAGGTTGATTACTTTGAGTTGTTTGAGTATCATCATCACACCTTGCGGTTACGTTACTAAGCAAATCAACAATAGGATCCGTTATGAATTTGAATCCACCAGTTAATTTATGAGCAGCAACATATTCACCATAAAGAAGTGCTAATTCTAAATAATCTGAACTACACAAAATATCCTTCGGAATATCAGTTTTTTTGCGATCACTAGTTTTATTTTCAAATACGAAAGTGATGTTTGTCGAAGGTGGAAAAAGATTATAGAATATTTTAGGATATGCAGGACCATATTTATTCTCGATGTAGTCTAATTCGTCGAGATGAATATTAAACCACGCATAAAATCCTAAAAATTAATGAAAAAAGAGAATGTTTATTCTCAATATTATTACATAAAATACTAATCAAGGATATAGAATATATTTTACCAGATTTTGTGCTCGGTAAACAAAGATTTTGATAATGAGGAACAGCATAATAGTAAATCTCAAATTCCTCTTTAAGATAAGCATCGCTTGTGATCTCTTTGGCACAACTTATTTGAATCTGTTGATATCCATTAATCGAGACATTCTGTGGACAAGGATTATTCAAGTTACAAAATTTTCTAACAGCTGCCATATAATCCCCATTCGTCTTTATAGGCGTTGTTACATTGTCAGCAATAACAAAGTCTACAAATCGATTATAATGATCGCAAGTCAACGTTGAGGCGTGATCGCCAGGGATCGAGTAGTTAGCGAGTTGATAAAGAGTGACTTGGCAAGGAGTACATTTAGTTACACTATATTCTGTTGGGCAATCCGCTAAAGCAATATAATTTAAATTCAATAAGAATAAAATGAAGATGAATAAATAGTGTTTGAAATTCATTTTTCTAATTGAAATCTTAAAAGAGCTTCAGCTCTCCGATTTATAGCATTTAGAACATCTCAGCTCTCCGATTTATAGCATTTAGAACATCTCATCTAACGCTATGTTCTTTATTATTTTACTAAATTTATCTGTTTATTTACTTTTAGCCCGAATTTTACCTGTTAACGTTAAACTAGCCTTTTTGTGTTCTAAAAAATGTTCCTTTCGAAATACATGTTTTTGTAACCCAAACACTCTACAATCACAGTGCAGTGTACATCGATACATGTACAGTTGTAAAATTTTTTGTGACTAACGTGAATACGTATGTAGTTTTTTAGTTTGTCGAACCAATTCCAGTGTTAAAAAACAACATATATTAAATTATCACCGTCTACAATTATTGGATTATTTGGCTATCGTAATTATAACTGAAATTTTGTGGATGAAAATGTTTTCTCCGATAATCCCGGATGACGATAATATCACATTATATGTAATCCACCACCCGTTAATATAACACCGGTTACTATGACATTCCTATCCAAATACATGTAATGTCAGTTTTTTGTTCTCATTAATATGGTTCGTTATTAACATATGACCAAGAACCTTGCCATTTATTGTCGCTATCATTGGATTTTGGGTAACATAAATAACGCACCACTTGCATCGATGATCATTAATCACTTGATCTGCACTCATATGCAAGCTAACGAATACACAAAAAACAAACCAATGAGGATGCGTAAATTTTTAATCAATTCGGAAAAACAAATTTGAAGCAAAGATAAAAAATACGGAAAACAGGTGCTTAAATCTTTCTTGGAGCACTAATTAAAAATGTCGGGAAGGCAACCTTAAATATAAACTTGATTCCTTCCCAACCCTAACCCTAACGTTAAAATTACCTTTTAATATTTTTAAGATATATCACGTGATGGACTATGCTTTACGATTTGGCAATAACAAAAATAACCAATAGCATTGCGTATTTTCGGAAATATTCTACGGTAGTAAAGATTTTTTGTCGGATTTTTTGCCGGTTGATCAAAATTTATGCATGCTTATTGGCTGTTTTTTACCCTAACCAAATCGGGTGGGAGTACATAAATATATGTACACGCAATAACACACCAGATTATCCGTAAATTCCCTTATCAAGATTATATTTAAAATTGCTTTCCCGACATTTTTAATTAGTGCTCCAAGAAAGATTTAAGCACCTGTTTTCCGTATTTTGTCTTTCCGAGTTGATTAAAAATTTACGCATCCTCATTGGTTTGTTTTTCGGACAGATTATCGGATGGACTACGCTTTAACCAGAGTGTAATACATGTATATACATGGCAGATGGTTCAGTGTATGTTATCTTATATTCCAACAATTAGTTGAAGCTTCTGATCAATAACCAAGAGGGACCCGGAAAAATTTGGATATAGATTTTCAATTTTTACTCTGTTGTCAAATGAGCATATTATCAGTTATTGATCTATCTTCCTGATACCACCAGTTAAAGAATATAATTTATTGAAAATCAAAAAATAAAAAAAAATTTGCTTAAGAAAATAAATGATATCTGACTCGATGATAGCTGCTCAATTTCATTATAGTCAATTTTGAAGGAGTTAGATCAATAATTTATCGTTAAAGTGAAAATAAAAGGTGAAAATAAAGTGGAAAATATACAAGAATGTGATTCGTTGATTTTAGAGTACAGTCGACTTTCGATATAACGACGTGCAGATCCTATTGTAAACAATATAAATTCAATAGAATCTACACGTCGTTACGTATATCAAAAATCGACTGTACATAAATTTCGGTAGACAATACAGAGAAGATTTCCTATGATCGTTATTATTAATTTACAGATTGATCTATAAAATTCTAATCAGATCAATATCATGAGAATATTGATTAGGATTTTCAACAAAAATGCCGTTGGGAATGGAAAAAGAACAATTCCAAGGAGCCATCACAGTAATTGCAACCAAATCTTAATCGGCGAAGGCGAGCAAATTAAAATGGTCAAAGTTGAGGACGACCATGTATCGAATGACTTATCCAACGAATTGGTTAGTTCTCTCCACGTTGACAATATCGTAGCTGAAATTAACCAATTGCTGGACAAAAAATTCGTTGGTGTACCAATTCGACCCGATCGACAACTGGAAAAGCCGAATTGAACACATCATTTGAAATATTGATGATTATTTACAACGCCAGAAGTATTATCAACTACGAACGTATTTATTCTAAATAAGACTGCTACATGTATATACGTAGAGGGTGGGTAATGTGTATTATTTGATGGCAATTTTAACTCTTCTTCATTTCATGATCCTTGTGGGCGCATGTATCATTTTTCATGCATCAATCGTTTGACAAACACATGTGAACGACGACGACTTCCACCACATATAAATATTCGTTTTAGACATAATCACTGCCATCATCACTATTCAACTCAAAGGTGTCATCTAATACTCATGATTGTAGTAAATGTACCAAATGTCGATATGATATGTACTGTATTGGATGTTTTCGATAGCACAAACGAATTTATGTTGAATGTTCTAGTGGAAATAAAGATATCGACAGTCTAATAAATGAATGTAAGAATATTATTGACGATGACAATACAATAGAGTATTTGAATGGATCCCTTTTGAAAGATTTATCAATGTTGAATATCTTGCAAAAGGAGGTTTTGGATCAATTTATAAAGC